CTCTCTCTCTCTCTCTCTCTCTCTCTCTCTCTCTCTCTCTCTCTCTCTCTCAAATTCTAGCAGTGGTAGGAAAATTGTCTTCTTTTTTTAAAAAGAGGATGAATATTGGACAACCAGAGTTTAACATTCTACCTGGCATATGTTGACAGTCAAAAAAATACTGACTATTGTTATTACCCTAATTCTGCTCAGCCACAAACACCTAATGCACTTGGTTTCACCCCGTGCTTATATAACAACACCCGCTTCCCCTACACGGTCATTCTTCATCTTTCCCTTTGCTTTGGAAAAATTCTACAATCATCCTGCAAGTCCAGTGCTGTTTTTAATTTCCACTTTTTTTATCAATAAGGTCACCAGGCAAATAGTATAAGGATGTGCGTTTATTTTTATTTGTATAAAGAATCACTTATTACATATCAAGGCTATTATTACATTTAAATATAAATTATTAAAATTACCATATCAGCTTACACTAAGAGGACATATCATTTCACATAAATTCAAGTCCCCAAAATGTCAGTGTTTCTTGGGGAAGTTTCCTCAGCTTCATGAACTGATCTGCACATGGAGTTTTCAGACTGCATCCATGACACAGCCAGGGGCTGTTTCTGCTTTTCCATGGCTCCATTTTGCTTTCATAGTGAGGATACTTAGGAAGCAGCTGTTGTAATTTCTTTCGGTCTACTTTGTACTTTTCTGTAGAGGAGTTACACAAAATGGGAGGCTTCATGGAGACATCTTGCCTCAGGCTCATGTTGGCTTTTTTTTTTTGATCAACTCAACAATTTCTGAGAAGGTGTTTAATGCCTCTCCTCACAGCACTGTACTCTCTGGAAGCCAACCTGCATGCTGATCCTCATGTGCTAGGTCATCTCTCAAAGATGTTTACTGTGGTCATCTCTCAAAGATGTTTACCTTTTCAATGTCTAAAGCATATTTTGAACTTTCCCTCCATAAATGGTCACCTTACTGTCCAGAATTAAGATCTACCTCTGATCCACAAATCAAAGTACAATCATGGAAAACAGTTTTTGAGGAAATGAAATTTCTTGACTGAAAGAGCAAAGTCTGATTGACAAGGGAAGGTACCTACCCTTTAACAATATTCTAAAGTTGGAAGAAAGGGGCTTTATTTGGGTGTTTCAGAAAGCTGGAGGAAGTGAACACTTAAAGTATGCCTGATTTTGGCAATGAATGTTAATATATGGAATAAGATAATTTTTTATGTCTTCATAACCAGAAGGTAGCACCAACTTTCCATGATAGAAGTTTGGCACAAGTGTTTCTCATGTTTTGGAATTTTTTTCAAGATAAGGTCCTGTTGGATGAGGTTCAGTTACTACCTTCACTCAAACATGGAGAACTGCTGTGAGTTTGAGGCCAATCTGGGCTACATAGTGAACTCAAGGCCAGTCTGAAATACACAGTGAGACCCTGTCTCAAAAAATAATAATAATAATACAGCTGGAAGGTGGGGGATATAGATTTCTAATTTGGACTATGGTGGGATTCCGTAAACTATTAATGAAAAAAGTCTATAAGAACATGGTGATTTGTTATTTATGGTCTTGATGACATTTTCAAAGTTTTGATCTTGAATAGATTCCTGTGATTGTATGTCCAATATGTATTGGGTAGTTAAAGAGCAAATAAGCCAGGTGAGGGAGTAGGTTATACTGATAGAACAGAAAAACAGGTAAACATGAAACACTTATGTCACTGTAAGTGCTTCATATAAAGAAAGCAGGAGTCTATTAGAGAATATTGAGGGAGTTTGTAGGATGGGGTGGAGGTGGGAATAGAATCCTGTAGTCAGAGAAAACTTTTCTCAGTGTGACATTGCAGCTGGTAGCTAAAGAAGAAGAAACCAGCCAAGGGGAAGTCTAGGAGGGGGACATTCTGCAGCAACAGAACATGGATCATATGTGTTCATCATTGTGCCCTTAACATCCCAGATGACCAGGAAGCAAAGTCTGGGAGAACCATCACCATTATCATTTTTATTCTTACAATGTATCAAAAAGAAATTTGCAAATAAGTGCCTACACATTTTTAGATACTTCATACATAAGTTTTCTTATTTCCATTCTTAGTAAGGCTTGCTATGCTTTTTCTAAGTTCTTTCTTTATTGAAAAAGAGTTATATATTGTATGTAATATTTACATACTACTATTCAAACATAACAAAATTTTTCTACTACTTTGTCCTTTTAGTGTAAGATTTTTTAAAATCCTGATACTAATTGACCAAATGGACACCCTATATATGGGTGCTAGTTACTAGGAAGTTGGAACTTAACTGAGTGAGATTTTCTATTACTCATGAACAGCCCACTGCCATGTGTATCTCATTCAGATCAAAAGGTCCTTTGACACTGATTTTTGCCAAGGATCTGAGAGAACTCTCAGAGTCAAATTTAGGGCTTAAAGAGTTCCAAAAAATAGAAAGGTATGAGAGATTATTAGATCTCTTCAGAGGAAACTTAAGTAAAACTTGGGATTACCCTACAACTATTCCAACAAAATTATTACAGTAAGGACCAGGCCAGAATTATTGCTAGCCCATAAAAAGTGAGGTACATGAAGCAACATCAAGCCAGAGAGAGTCCCTGATTTTTTAAGTGGCATAGCCGCTAAAGAACAACACTAGTATCACCAATTTACTCATTCTGTGAGGTGTAACATTTCAAAATTATTCCAAAAGAACTAAAACAATGTTTAATATAATAGAGCAGTCTATTACCTCTAAAATAAGATTTTGTACATTAAATGGTTTACCAAAGTAACTTTGTGGTGAATTTCTGTTACATAACCAAATATTCTTAAAACTTAGTACATTAGCATTTTAACAAGTCACTTTTTAGTCTTTAAGTGCAGTTTTCACAGTTTTATTCAATTTTTAAAAATGTAACTAACGTATTCTAGACATTTCAATAGTGCTTCATACTTTGTAATCTCATTTAGCATAATTAATCATTTTCAGCGTTATTTTTGCATATGTACAGTGACGATATGAACAGACCAACTCCCTCTCCCTTTTACCCTCAATTAAAAATAAAAAATGAAAAAACAAGAAATGAGATTAGGTTCTAAGAGGGGAACTCATCAATAAAGCTTGGGGATGCAGAAGGTAACTTTCCACTCTCATATTCTACACTGTAGAGTTTCTACACTACAGCATCAACTTTATGAGACTATAGCCAAATACTTTCTAAAACCTTTCAAGAAGCTCCAGTGGATTTCTGGAGCTGTTCTTTTAAATTCAGCATACTCTGCCTGTGCTCTGGGGGCAGCATGGCAATCTGATCTTCAGTCAGTTGGAGAACCTGCATGATCAAAGCTGCTTTTTCTTGATCCTGTGGAGTTACCTGGCTCTGCCCAGGACTAACACTGCTAGGCTGGCCTCCGCCTTGCTTGCCTGCCCCCTGCATACCTGCCCCCTGTATGCTCGCTCCCTGCATGCCTGCCCCCTGCATGCCTGCTCCCTGCGTGCCTGCCCCCTGCATGCTCGCTCCCTGCATGCCTGCCCCCTGCATGCTCGCTCCCTGCATGCCTGCCCCCTGCATGACTGCCTCCTGCATGCCTGCTCCCTGCATACCTGCCCCCTGTATGCTTGCTCCCTGCATGCCTGCCCCCTGTATGCTTGCTCCCTGCATGCCTGCCCCCTGCATGCCTGCCCCCTGCATACCACTTCCAGGATTCCCCACTCCTGATATGCTTGGGACCTGTCTATGTTCCTGAGGGCCACTTGCCCCTATATTAATGGGACCAGGTCCCTGGATTCCACCAGTCATAGGGCCTCTAGAACTACGTCCTGGGCCCTGTATTTCTAATCCTCTTGCATCCATGCCTATTGCTTCCATCCCTCTGGTTTCCACAGCACGGGTCTCCATTCCTCTTTGTTCCATTACTCGGGACTCTAAAACCTCAGTTTCCATCACTCCAGACTCTTTTCCTCCTCTCCTATCATGCACAGAAGGGCCACGGTTATCATGACCAGAGGCATGGTGTATAGGAGGACCCTGATGGGGTGGACCCAGGTAACATCTGGGTTCTACTTCTCTAGTAGTGGAAAGCAAAGTCCTTCCATTTGGGTCATTTGGAACATCTCCTAATAGTCCTCAAGGAGATAGGCCAGCAGGAGTCTTGGGGCCATGAAATATAGGAGCTCTAGGATCTGCCATCTGCCCTTGTCCAGGGACCAGGCCAACATCTGGCATTCCAACTTGTGGCTTCACTACCCCTCCAGGAGTTAAGGAACCTGGTCCAGGTCCAGGAACTGTAGCTGCTACTGGCCCCGGAGCTGGAATTCCACCCTGGATAGAAGTCTGCATCAGAGGAGGAATGTCTTTCCTGGATTTTTTTGCCAAACGCTGAGGCCAACGGGCTGGAGGATTCTGTTGGTTCAACAGATCATTGGGTCCTGGGCAAAGTCGAGGGCCAGGGCCAGAAACAAGACCAGGGCCAGAGACAGACTGAGATTTGCCTGGGATCTGTGGAGTGGCACGTATCTTGCAATGTAGAATTTTCCCGGTAGTCTCAGGATCTATGATGCTCATGACCACTAGTGCCTGCAGCAGAGCATATGACAACTGTGGGCTTTGAAGTAACATGTTTCAAGCTTCCTGGTGACTGTTTTCCACACATCGCTTCATCTGCTTCATCAGCTCTATCATCTGCTCTGGAGGAAGACTGGCCACTGCTCCGGTAGTAGATTTAAGGCACCTTCTGGATTGATAGGATCCCCATAAGGAGAGTCAGCGATGGGCCCTTCAGGCCCTACACTCTTTAACTCCTCCTTATTGTTTTCAGTGGCAGCATTGTCCACCCGAAGCACTCTCCCACTGACCTCACACCCATTGAAGTTCCGCATGGCACTAAGTGCGATCTCCTGGTCTTGGTACTCACAGAAGCCATAACCCTTGGGCTTGCCTGTCTCTTTATCAAAGACCAGCCGGAAACTGGCCACGGGGCCAACCTCGGACAAAATGTCCTTTAACTGCTCCTCAGTTGCCTCATATGGAATGTTTTCCATGAACACAGAGCGCAGCGATTGATGCATTGCTGGGTCTGTCACTTTCAAGCTCGACATGATTCTAGTTTTCCACACAGCTGATAGCAGGTTCTTCCAAGAGTGCAATATTTATATCTTTCTAAGTTCTTCTTTGCCTAAATGTAACAGTTTTTACAAAGCTCTGTTTGTAGTCAACATGGCGTACTCCAGTCTCTTATCATGCCAGGTATCTTATTTTACACTAAAACATTTTTTGTCATTAGAAGTATTTTAAATACTTAATGATATATTATAGCAAGTATGTTAATAAAAATTTGTTTAAATATGTGTTTTTTATATGTCTTCTAATTTTGGCTGTGGATGCAAAGTAATTAGGTATTCTGAGGTTAGTTCCTTCTTGGAATGCGCATGCCTTGTGCATGAATCTTTTTCCTCTGGCCTACTGTGCTCAGTTTAGAGTCAACACCCAAATGAAAATAAAGCACAAGCTTGATCTGCACAGCATATATGACGTTCTCTCTAAAAATGTTTAGTTTTCAGTATATGCTTCTCTTATTCTTAAGTCTAATTGATTTAAGATAGAAGCTCAGATGTCTTTTTAATGATAAGGTGATCTTTGTGTAACACATTATTGATATTTTAACAGTATTTTTGAGCATCTTCAACAGAAGGATGCTGATCATTTATCTGGGACTGTATATCACAGAAGAAAAAAGTTTGTAAATGGACAAAGGGGAGGTAAGAACGTTTTATTTAAAAAGTCATTTGACAAAACACTTATTTCAAATGCGAATATGTTCTAGTAGTAAAGAAAATTACTAATGCTGAGATCCCCACTGCGGCTGAAAGAGTGGGTGCCAAAGCTGGTGGCAACACTCACGCATCCGTCACTGCCCCTGCTGGAGCTGCAGATCCTGATCAGCATGGAGAAGGCTGTCCAGGCGCTGATGGCCCTAAACACCAGCAAGATCACCTCATCCTCTGCAGTTCCTCACTGGCAGGTACCTGCCCCAGCCAAGCCCTGCAATGGGCTCTGTCTCCAGATCCAGTCCCTGACTAACTTGGGCTTCACGGGATCCACGTACAGTCCAGACCTTGGGGGACTGGAGTTTTCTTAGGAGCCTTCCCTGCAGAATCCCAGACTTTTCTCCCAAGCAGCATCTGTTTGAATGCACGTCCACAGTCACTAGGTCCCTCTCATAAAACTCAGATTCAGAGCTCGTGCCAACCACTGGCGCACACAGAACAAGCACTTTCCAAAAATCAGACTGGCTGAAATCCTTAGGGAAATCACAAATTTTTGTTATTGGGTCACAGTGGTGTTTCTCTCCATCCAGATTTTGTAAGGGAAGAGTCCTGGGACCCTATGTAAGCCTAATATGTTTTAGGAATGGAAACCAAGCCTACTGTGATTGCTCACATCTGTAAACTTAGCATTCTGGAAGCCTGAGGGAGGGGGAATCCATGTTTGAGCCCGGCCTAGGCCACTTAGCAAGTTACCAAAGCTTGTCTCAAAACAAAACATAAAAGGACTGGAGACGTAACTCAGTGAAAAGGTACTGGGTTCAATCCTCAGTTCAGTTAAAAAAAGTAAAACACTTTTCTTGCCAAAAGCAATATGCCAACAACATTAAATCTAACTGCTGCCCACACAGCATTTTTTTCTTGAGTTGAAATTTTCCTTCTTTTTCTCCCCACATCTTGTTTCTATCTACAAGGAGGTAATATGAACATGCACATCTCTGTGTGACAGTCACTGTGAACTTTGTTAGGTTGCTTTGGTCTCCTCTGAAGTTCCCAGGATGGAAGGAAACCTGTGTCCATGTCATCACTTTTATGAAAATCCTAACTTTTAACATGCATTTAACTGAGCTCCGGAAATCAGGTTGTGGGTAATTCCTATAATTATGAAAACTGCTTGACACTTTTTGCTCTTTTTTATTTTAAAGGGAATAGAAATTTTTAAAACATTAAAAAGATAGAGAATTACAAAACAAGATGATAGGAAATAAAAAATGATTGTTATATTGCATATTGTTATCTTCAAAATAGTTGTTCAGATTACCACATATAAGTGGGCAAAATTGGTCAACAAAAGAAAAAATTAAGCATTAACTGTTCCTTTCAGTAAACAAATAGAAATTAGTGGTACAATTATCTTAGCTATCTTAGGGGTGTGTGTGTGTGTGTGTGTGTATGTGTGTGTGTATTTCTTTCTTTCTTTTCTCCTTTTCCCCATCCCAGTTGTTCTTTCCTTTTGAGATGTTACTTTCCCTTTCACAGTATCTATTGTGCCTTTCAGTTTTATTTACTCTTTCAGTTTCTTACATTAGGCAGACAGTACGATGTTTACACATGCAGGTCTGATTTATTTCACTTATGAGTATGGTTTTTAGTTGCATTCATTTCCCTGTTGAAGGCTTGAGTTTATCTTTCTTTATTGCTGAGTAATACTCCATTGTATAAAAATACCGTATCTTTTTTATCTGTTCCTCAGCTGATGGGCTTTTGGGTTGTTTCCAAGATTTAGCTATGACAAATTGTGCTGCTATCAACATGGGTGCACATATACTGCTGTGGTATGAGGTTTTCAATTCTTTTGTCTTTTGTCCCATAGTCAAGCATTCAGTTTCCACTCAGGCCCAGTAGCAGGCCAACAGCTATTTTTCAAAGGGAGAGTAGTTATCTGCAGATGATGGCAGAGCCTTGCTCCAAAATCCTAAATGCCTCCACTGCAGTTCACCTCTGGGGGTCTGCCACAGACTCCAAACAGCATCTCTATCCACCACTGACACTTCAAGTACCATGGGATCTGCTGAGCTATATGGCCCCAGGGGCAGAGCAGCTTGAAGAGCAGCCTGGACCTGTTGCAGAGCTTTTCCTGCTCTGGGCCCCACTCTAAATTAGCAGTTTTCGCCAGGGATATAGCTCAGTGGCACAGCACCTGCCTGGCAAGCATGAGGTCATGAGATTGATTCCTGGTACAAAAAAAAAAAAAAAAAAATTAGCAGCTTTCCGAGTCATTGGGTAAATGGACCAGAGTAAAACACCTAAGTGAGGAATGTGTTAGCTCCAAAATCCAAATAGGCCCCCTAGATGTTGGTGCTGTGCCTTCTTTTCAGTCATAGGGGAAGCCACACACAAAAACTTATCTTTTACCTTAGAAGGAATATCTCTACATGCTCCACACCACTGGACTCCTAGAAACTTCACTGAAGTAGAAGGACCTTGAATTTTTGTTGGATTTATTTCCCATTTTCTGGCTCTCAATGCCTTACTAACAAATCCAGAGTGGTTACTACCTCCTGCTCTCTAGGCCCAATCAGCATAATCTCATCAATATAATAGGCCAGTGTGATATTTTGTGGAAGAGAAAGGGAGTCAAGATGCCTGTGAACTAAGCTGTGACACAGGGCTGGCGAGTTAATATACCCCTGGGGTAAGACAGTGAAGGTGTATTGCTGGCCTTGCCAGCTGAAGGCAAACTGTTTCTGATGATCTTTATGGATAGGTATGGAGAAGAAGGCATTTGCCAAGTCAATAGCTGCATACCAACTACTAGGAGATGTATTAATCTGCTCAAACAAGGAAATAACATCTGGTACCGCAGCAGCAATCAGAATCACCACTTGATTCAGTTTGTGGTAATCTACTGTCATTCTCCAAGACCCATCTGTCCTCTGCACAGGCCAAAAGAGAGAATTAAGTGGAGATGTGGTGGGGACCACCACCCCTGCATCCTTCAAGTCCTTGATGGTGGCACTAATCTCTGGAATGAGATACTGCTTTTGGTTTACTGTTTTACCAGGCAAAGGCAACTCTAATGGCTTCCATTTGGCCTTCCCAACCATAATAGCTCTTACACTGCAGGTTAGGGAACCAACGTGAGGACTCTGCCAAGTACGAAGTACATCTATCTGAATTATACATTCCAGAACAGGGGAAATGACTACAGGGTGGATTTGAGGACCTACTAGACCCACTGTGAGTGGGATCTTTGCTAAAACTCCATTGATCACCTGATGTCTATAGGCCCTTACTCTTACTGGAGGGCCACAATGATGTTTTGGATCCTCTGGAATCAGTGTTAGTTCAGAACCAGTGTCCAGTAGTCCCTGAAATGTCTGATCATTGCCCTTTCACCAGGGTACAGTCACTCGGGTAAAGGGCCTAAGGTGTCTTTGGGGAAAGGTGGGAGAAAGTCTGACTGTATAAATTTTGGGGTATCAGGATTCTTCCCCAAGGGGATCTGGCCCTCCTGTCGTGCAAGGGGTTCTGGGTCTGTAATTGGCTCAAATCCAGGAACTGGTGAGGGCCTGTGATTTTCTGTTACCATGATTGGAAGTAGATTTTGTTCTTTTGCCTTTAAACTTTTTTGATTATATAAATCTAGTAAAAATGTTGTAGACTTCCTATTTATTTCACTTTTGGAAACACTAAAAATTGGCTAATTGGCCAGTGCCATAGGTCTGCATGTAACAGATTATTCTGGTCATTGTTCTGCTTCTGCTGTCCATAATGGTAAGTGGGTGGACTCTGCCTTTGGTGATTAAGCGCTGCCACTTGACCTCTGCTACTCTGGAATCAGTCAAGCCTACTGACCTTAAGTTTCCTAATTGAGTAACTGCTCCCACACTGTAAGGTCTGGCATACAGAGAAGAGCAGTGACAGAACTCTTCAGGGAAGTTGGTGCTCCACTCACATCTGTTTCTCAAGGTGTTAGTGAAGGGTGTATTTTCTGGATAGTCCCAATGTGGAGGATTAGGTTGAACATGACAGATCCACTCCAGCATTCCTATTTCCTGAAGCCCTGGAATCCCTTCATTAATAGTAAACCATGGAATATCAGGTATTTCTAACTGATTCACAGTGAGCCATCTTTGGAGCCTAACTTCTGCCAACCAGCCAAATAAACTATTAACTCCTTGCTTTACTCCATGAGCTGCAATATTAAATTCAGAATCCCTACTTAATGGGCCCATATCAACAAACTCAGCCAGATCCACATATATATTTTTTCCACCATTATCCCACACTCATAAAATCCATTCCCACACTTGCTCATTAGGCCTCTGCTTATAAGAGTTAGAAAACTCAAGAAGTTCTTTTGGAGAATAGCAGACCTCCTCATGGGTCACACTGTGTACAACACACTTAGGAGTCTTATGAGATTTGAGCCGATTATGGG